TTATTGTAAGGAATAGTTGAAATTCAGGATAGGTCGAGCCTGGAAACATAGGCTGGGCCTACGTGGCTAAGAGGTGCCCTGACCAAAGTGATGGGTACATGTGTTCCTACTGGGTCAAAACAAGGATGGGGGAGTATGTAGCAGTGTGAGGCCCTGTCACTGGGTGAAAATAGATAAAAATGGTCATGAAAAGGACACAGAGTTTGCACATTTGCTGAATGCAGGACTATGGAGCATAGATTTTGAGCAGAGAAAACAGCTTTTGCAGTTTTCTCTGGATTTTTGTATTTATGGATGGGGCTCCATAGTTTGGAGCTTTTGAAAGTGCCCGCATCCTCCACCACTTGTGACACGGGGGATCATTAGCTGTAGTGGCAGCTGCGTTTTCAAGTACGTTTACGTCAGTCAAGAACTATATTTAAGGGCCTGGTAGCTCATGTTTGTTAAAAAAAAGGTAAAAAAACAAAAGACCAACATAGGCTTTCCCACACAGGAGTTTTTCTCTAGCCAAAATACAAATGAAAATTATCAAGCCACTTGGCTCTCTCTGGTCAGCAGTACCGTGCTTGCTTGGGTCTCCTAGATCACTGGCTATTCCTTGCATGCAGCTTTGGACTTCTTGAAAACACACAGCCTTGAGCTCCTTAACGCACTCACCCTTGAACTTCTTGGATGCACACAGCCTTAAATGCACACAGCCTCAAGCCCTTTAATGCACCCAGCCTCGAGCTTCTTGACCTTCTATCTATTTTAACCCAGTGACAGGACCTCGCACTGTTACAATATAAATAGCAAATACCCTAGGGCAGCACAGTGGCTAAATGGTTAGCACTTCAGCCTGGCAGTACTAGGGTTGTTGGTTCGAATCCCAGCTACGGCACCTCCTGCCTGGAGTTTGCATGTTCTCCCTGTGCATGCGTGGGTTTCCTCCGGGTACTCCGGTTTCCTTCCACACTCCAAAGACATGCTGGTAGGTGAATTAGCTCCTGTCTAAATTGGCCCTAGTATGTGTATGTATGAATGTGAGTTAGGGACCTTAGATTGTATGCCCCTTGAGGGTTAGGGGCTGATGTGAATGTACAATATATATATGTAAAGCGCTGCGTAAATCGACGGTGCTATATAAGTACCTGAAATAAAATAAATGGTGAACAATAAATCGGTGAATAAAGCAAGTTTAATTTACTTAAAAACGTAAACAATCGTCAAACAGAATGAACAATAATCGTTGAACAGAATGACTTTTCCTGGTCAAAAAAAGAGATCTTTCCTAAGATTTAAGTGTAAAAATGGCACCATGTTTTTATTTCCCACACATTTCCATTATTGGTTACAGATCATCATGCATTCCTTTTCCCTTTTCTAATGAACGGATCCTTTATTGTGTTATTGTTCTTCTAAGTAAAGTTGTTTCACAGAAAACGTGTCAAATATATCTGAGGCCCACAGAAAAGACCACAATGGCCACCACTAAAATACTCTTGTCTAAAGAAGTACAGTTGCCCCAAAGTGAACAATCCCTTTAAGATTTAAACATCTGCTAAAAGTAAAATTTCTATAACGGAAAACTTTTAAAAGTCCTTTTTGCGTACCGTTTCCCTTTTTATGTGCTACACTTGGCTCAGAGAACACCCACAAATGATCACTCACCAAACAACCAGTTGCTAGCGTAACAAAGATCCTAACATTTAAACTGTAATTAGGACTAAATACTGATAAGAAAGAAAATCTGCCAAATAAAACCCAGATCACTTTCTTTTGTGCAAGACACATTTCTTTTTATTGGACCATTTACCATATATTTATCTGAAACTGAAGATGACTGCATTTTCCTCCAGATCTTGAAAAGGGCCTGTATGGAACAGATTGGAAGACGATAAGTGCTGGAGCAAGGCCAGAGGGCTGGTTCCAGTATTCTAAGCATGTCTTAATATGCTTCAAATACCTTTCCCCTTTTCAGCCACTTGTTTCATCTCCAGGGCAATTTAACAGCACAGAGTGCCGCAGTGACAAAGTGTTTTGACATACCCTCCGGCATTTCAAGTTCAGCTTGTGTAAATTCTACATGTGGGGCGCCCGGGGTGATGACAGGTGGAATTTTATTCTCCATCGTATTTATTTTTTCTAGCACAGTTAACACGAGCTCTTGTTCTCCTTACAGAGTGCCTGTTTTCCACTTGGCTCGCTGGTCAAGCTAATTAATTTTCTTTCTGTGAGCAATAAACAAGATCGCCTTTATCTTAGAATAAATACATTGTTTCTAGTAATTCCTGCGTTGAAAGATAATCTGTAGCTGAGCGTTGTGACACCAGGAAATTCGGGAAGGAAAAATTCCAGACTTAGAACTTATAAAAAGCTTGACAGTCAAGGCCAAGCATCATTAGTTGCACGTTCAAAGCAGCCATTTTGTACACTGGTCTCCAGAACATCTTGTTTACTGATTCACAAGGAACTAGTGATATCTTCAAGAGAAATTTTACAAGGCAGTTGGTGGGGCAAGTTGGAACAGGGGACCAGAAGTACTAAACAAATGTAGAAGTAGTTTTGGATGAAAAAAAATATTCAGTGAAATGGGTTAACATTATTATTATTATTATTATTACATCGAGTTTATATAGCGCCAAAGGGTTTGCTCAGCGCTGTACAATAGGGGGGGGGGCAATACATGGCACAGTACAACAGTAACAAACAACGTACGAGGGGTAAGAGGGCCCTACTCTTTCGAGCTTACAATCTAGGAGGGAGGGGGTAATGGTACAGTAGGAAGTGGCTGAGGGGAATGAAGGGTGGGAGGAAAAGGGAGAATGGCCGTTAGGTGAGGGTGGGGTAGGCTTCCCTGAAGAGATGGGTTTTGAGGGAGCGCCTGAATGTGAGGAGGGAAGGCGACAGTCTGATGGATTGGGGCAGTGAGTTCCAGAGGATGGGGGAAGACCTGGAGAAGTCTTGCAGTCGTGCATGGGAGGAGGAGATCCAGGGAGCAGGATAGAAGGAGGTCCAGTGAGGAGCGAAGGGTACGGGTAGGGCGGTACTTGGGGATCAGGTTGGTGAGGTAGTCAGGGGCAGTGTTGTGAACGGCTTTGTAGGTCAGGGTTAGAAGTTTAAATTTGATGCGTTGGGCAATCGGGAGCCAGTGGAGTGAGAGGCAGAGGGGGGTGGCAGAGGTGGAGCGGGTGGTGAGGTGGATGAGTCTAGCCCCTGAGTTCAGGATCTCCTTCAACTTCAATCTCTGAGAGTTGATTGAAGGGAAGACACGCACCCCCTTCACACAGGAATTGAGCTGAGGCTGTCAATCTGCTGGAGCTCCCTCCCCTATCACCATTTTTCTCTTGGTGTCAGGAAAACTTGTCAGAAGTGATTGATTCATGCTGATGGCAGCAGACAGGAATGACACTTCAAGCTCTTATTTGGGACAAGTACACACTATAAAGCAGTTGTCTGCAAACTGGATGCTGCCCTTTGCCTGCCTATATCCGTCCCTTGGGGCATTATTACTCCCTAGGTAATGCATCATCACGGGGTCTCTGTGCTTCAGTATTGTTCTCAATAACCCGTCAGCCTTGATGCAAGCAATTGGGCACCAACTATTGGGCACAATTCCTCTCACTGACACCAGCAATGGGGCATTATTTCTTCCCTTGATACCAACAATGACACCAGTCATGGGGCACTATTCTTCCTCCTGACAACAACAATGCAGAAAATTCCTTGCACTGACACCAGGGACCGGGGCATTATTCCTTACCCTGATACCAATGATGGGGCAATGTTTCTCCCAGTAATACCAATGATGGGGCATTGTTTACTCCAGTTGACGCCAGGGCATTTTCCATTCACACTGACAGACCCCACCCAAAGCCAGAAAAACGGTAAACTGGCCCTTTATTTGGAAAGTTTGGAGACCCCTTCTATAGAGGTATGTACTTTGTTCATATTTCATGTCTCAGGTTTACAACCACTTTATAGTATAGGCCCACTTTAAGGTAAAAGCTATATAGTAATTATTCTAAATTGACTCACTGAAAATATGTTTCTTTTAATTAAGTAGGTTGACTGACTGATACACAAGTTGCCAGCAAAGGGGAAATCTGTACATGGAATGATAATACAGTACAGTAAGCATGTAAAATATAAGTCCTAAAAATCTATGTTGAATTATACAGAATACACTCACCAGCCACTTTATTAGGTACACCTGTTAAATTGCTTGGTAACACAAATTGGTAATCAGCCAATCACATGGCAGCAACTCAATGCATTTAGGCATCTAGATGTGGTGAAAACGACTTGCTGAACTTAAAAACCGAGTATTAGAATGGGGAAGAAAGGGGATTTAAGTGACTTAGAACGTGGATGGTTGTTGGTGCCAGACCGGCTGGTCTGAGTATTTAAAAAACTGCTACTCTACTGGGATTTTCACACACAGCCATCTCTATGGTTTACAGCGAATGATCCGAAAAAGAGAAAATATCCAGTGAGCAGCAGACGTGTGGACGAAAATGCCTTGTTGATGTCAGAGATCAGAGAAGAATGGGCAGACTGGTTTGAGATGATAGAAAGGCACCAGAAACTTAAATAACCACTCATTTCAACCAAGGTATGCAGAATACCATCTCTGAATGTATAACATATTGAACCTTGAAGCAGATGGACTACAGTAGCAGAAAACCACACTGGGTGCCAGTGTACCCATCTTCTGATGGCTACTTCCAGCAGGATAATGCACCATGCCACAAATCTCTAATCATCTCAAACTGGTTTCTTAACTACTTGCCAACTGCAGATAGCCGAATGACGGCTACACTGCGGCCGGCCAGTTCTGGGAGGGTAGGGTGTCATATGACACCTGTGCACCCGGTGATCTCCGTGATCGCTGTGTCCTATGGACACAGCTGATCACGTGATGTGGTAAAAGGCCAATCACAGCGGCCTTTTAGCACTTGATCAGCCGTGTCCAATGACACGCTGATCACCAGGAAATGCAATTGCCGGTTCTCGGCTTCACTTTTCTTACGCTGTCAGAGCGCGAGGAAAGTACTGCAGAGAACCGGCAGTTGTCAGAGCAGGGATCAGCACCGATCATCAGGGCACTGATGATCGGTGCCCAGCAGTGTCACCCACCAGTTCTTCCCACCTGTGCCCAGCAGTGCCACCCACCTGTGCCCAGCAGTGCCACCCACCTGTGCCCATCAATGCAGTGCTGCCAGTCAGTGCCACCAGTCAGTGCCCAGCGGTTGTGCCAGTCAATGCCTAGCAGTGCCGCCAGTCAGTGCCCAGCAGTGATGCCAGTCAGTGCCACCTATCAGTGCTGTCTATCAGTACCCATCATCAGTGCCGCCAATCAGTGCCACCTATCCGTGCCACCTCATTAGTGCTGCTTATCCGTGCCACCTCATTAGTGCTGCCTATCAGTGCCACCTATCAGTGCCCTTCAGTGCTGCCTATCAGTGCCCATCAATGCTGCCTCATCAACGCACATCAGTGAAGGAGAAAAATTACCTCTTTGAAAAATTTTATAATAGAAGCAAAGAAAAAAAAATTTCTTTTTCAAATTTTTTGCGCTTTTTTTGTTTATAGCGCAAAAAGTAAAGCGCCCAGTGGTGATTAAATACCACCAAAAGAAAGCTCTATTTGTGAGAAAAAAAAAGATAAAAATTTCATATGGGTACAATCTTGCATGACCGTGCAATTGTCAATCAAAGTGCGACAGCTCTGAAAGCTGAAAATTGGCCTGGTAAAGAAGGGGGTATAAGTGCCCGGTAGGCAAGGGGTTAAACGTGACAATGAGCTCTCTGTACTCCAATGGCCTCCACAGTCACCAGAGCTCAATCCATTGAGAACCTATGGGATGTGGTGGAATGGGAGATCCACATCATGGATCTTCAGGCAACAAATCTGCAGCAACTATGTGATGCTATCCTGTCAAAACCTCTGAGGAATGTTTCCAACACCTTGTTGAATCTCTGCCACTAAGAGTGAAGGCAGTTCTGAAGGCAAAAGGGGGTCCAACCTGGTATTGGCAAGGTGTACCTAATAAAGTGGCCGGTGAGTGTGTGTGCTTATGGTAGATCCACTGTGGGTGATGGTAAAACTATAACATTAGCCTCCCTGACGGTATTCCCGAGTGTAGCTCGGGGTAAAGTTTCAGTACCACAAGCGGTAACCCCGAGCTACACTCGGGAATACCTTGTAGCATTACTCCGGGATCTCTTCTGCACTTACCTTGTCCTGTGCTCCCGCGATATCCCTCCTGCAGTGTCCCCGGCAATGTCCTCCGGCCGATGCCGGCATCCGTCTTCTGGGTTCCGTTCCCTGCGACGTCAGGACGTACGGGGACGGAACGGCGGGAAATATATGAAAATTTTAAGTGACATTCACTAAATTCACTAAAATCACATAGTAAAACATACTGTATCAAACCATTTCACATACATTTTGTCCTGTCCTGCCTGCATTTTTACTGTTCTTTCTGCCTGGAAACTGAGAAACATCCATGGCGTCTAAAAAGCGTCCCTTTAGGTCAAAAGCGGTTTTACCAGCTAGAGAACAGCGATAGTAAATTAGAACCACTTGCAGAATTGAGTGATAATGATTCGTGAGGGAAATTTGTCATCAGACACTGTAAACGATTTTGCGACTTTGCTCAGCGATGTGCGAACTTGTCAGTACCACAAGCGGTATCCCAAAGCTACACTCGGGCTTACCATGCCGCGCTGCATAGGGAGTCCCTGCAGAGCTTACCTTGTCCTTCGCTCCCACGATGTGTCCCCTGCAGCGTCCCCGGCCATCTCCTCCGGCCGATGCCGGCATCCGGCTTCTGTGTTCCGGTCCCTGTGACGTCGAGACGTACGGCGGGAAATTTAAAAATTTTAAAAATGTCATTTTTTTTCCAAACAAATTTTACATAGTAAAAATTGCTGTTTCAACCCATTTCACATACATTTTGTCCCTAGTGCTTTGTCCTGTGCCCTGCCTGCATTTTGACTGTTCTTTCTGCCTGGAAACTTAGAAAAGTCCATGGCGTCCAAAAAACCGTCCCTTTAGGTCAAAAGCGGTTTTAGACCAGCGATAGTAAATCAGAACCACTTGCAGAATTGAGTGATAATGATTTGTGGGGAAATTCGTCATCAGACACTGAAAATGATTCTGCGACTTTGCTCAGTGATGTGCGAACATGGTGCTCTATTTCAAATTTCAGTGTTTTTGGTTTGATTATATTATTGAATTAAATGTATTATTTTTTATGATTATTAAATTATAATTTTTGATTTTGTGTTTTAAATTTTAACATACCCGGGATGTTTACTAGACTCTTGTTCGGACAGATTTCAGTGAGTTATTCGTAAAAATTACAGCCTACAATAAAAAAAAATACATATTTCCATGCAAAAAAATGTACCGCTTTCAGCACAGAAATATGGACATAATCAGACCGCTAGGGAGGTTAATGAGCAAATTTTTTGCCGCGTCATTTTTATTTATTGCCGGTACTTTTATCCCATGTAACTTTTATGTTTTTTTAAGATGTTTATGCCTCATTACTTTAGAGATTTTTCAAAGTTTTCTAAAGAAAAATGTTCAACTTTTTTTTTTTTTTTTTTTTTCTAAACGGCAGCCAAGTGTAACACCACAATATTACACTAAGCTGGTATGTGTAACTTACAAAGTGCAGACCTCTGAACACCTTCCAAATAAAGATGATAGCTGCCTGGGGGCTTGTAATGTTACGAGACTCGGTAAAGCGCTGGCAAATTGTAGTCTTAACGTTAACCTGTTGCCTGTTCATCTCTTTTAACGTCTGCGGCTCAAATTATTAAACACTGTCAGTCAAACCATAGCGGACTTTCCTTTTTTCCCCAACTTTTCACATAAAGCTTTGCCTTGACCTTGCATGAGGATTAATATGGATTTGTAGATTTATTGTATTTTTTTATTATTCTCAAAAATAATTTAGATTTTGGTTTAGATCAGGGATTGTAAAAATATCCATTTTTTTTTTTTGTGTCTACGTTTTAGAGAGATTTTGTCTGGTATTTAAATTCCGGCAGGTCTGTTGCATCAAAGGTGCACAAAGAAAAAAATTCTAGATGTTAAGTGATTTTCTTTTATTCAATTTACTGCTTGAGGTTTATGTGCTGAAAGTGTTGGTTTTTCATTTCATGACTTAACTTTTGACATAATAATGTAATATGTACAAATTTAATATGCTGCAGACATTTCAAGCTATTTTTTTTTTTATGGCATTGTAGGAATTTGCACTGTACTGTTATGGTGTACATATTGCGCTGGCATGGCCAATCGAATATTATACAACACAACACCGTGCTTTATAAATTTCCAAACGTGTTATTAAATCGACCCTTTTAATGTACCAGTTTGAAGACTTTAGAATATTACTTTCAATTAGTTTCAATTATTAAAACGAGTTTGTAAATGGTAAAATGTATTATTAAATGGGCCCTTTTAAATGACCGAATTTGGACCCTTTCTAAGAAAAAATTATGGCTGAAATCCAGCCTCATCTTGCACAGCTGTACAAGCTCCTCTCCTGTGCTAAAACGGGTTACTCTGATTTCACCGCACACAGTCAACTGCTAACAGTGTGCATTAGAAGCTGCAGCAAACCAAGCCGAGCCTGCCTCATTTCCTGGCATCTCCCTAGCCATACTCTTCATGGATAGCCCCTTTTATTTATTGTATTTTTTTCAATGATGGAGGTGTGTGTGTGTGTTACCTCGGTTGGTCTGCATGCAGAGCCCCCACTCCTCTAAACTGACATCCACCCATAAGAGCCAGCCCACTGCTTGCATCAAGGCTGAGGGTTATTGAGAACAATATTGAAGCACAGAGACCCCGTGATGATGCATTACCTACGGTGGTCTTCATGCAAAACCATCCCACTCCACCGGACTAACACCAACCCATGCAGGTCTTTTTTTAGTTGCATAACACCTTCCAAGAGCCAACCCACTACTTACCTCAGGGCTGAAGGTTATTGTGAGCTGTACAGAAGCAGGGTGCTATTTTCACAACGCTATGTACAGCATCTTGCAGGTCCCTCCCACCAGCCATGATCTGCCTTTATTGCATAGAGAAGCACAGAGATCCAGCGATGATATCACTGGGCCTAAATGAAATATGTTATGAAAACAGGTTTTACTTAAACATTTGCGACTTTGCTCAGCACCCCTACTGGTATGATGGGGGCTCTGAAGGCTAGTACCGCTGGAAGAGAAACTGAGGTGCCCACAGGCTGTTGGGGTAATTCCCCAGGAAAACCTGAGGGGACCAGTTCCTCCTGATTTGAATGGGTCTACCTTGTCTGGCCAGGGGCCGAGGAATCAGAGAGTCCACGGAGTAGTGCCCCCTGGGAGTGGTCGCCCCAGGGGTGCTCATAGTAACACATGGGCTTGGGATCGCATGTGTGAAAAGTGCACATGGTCACTATGCTATACACTTTTTCTGCACTACGCCTTTTAGAGCTAGGCCTTTGGCTAAGTCACTTTGTCACTTTGCGAAGTTTGTGTGTGTTTTTTTTTTTCCTCACTGGATGGAGGATGTGGGTCCTCAGGCCATGTGTGGCCCTTAGGTTCCCTCCTTCCCCGATCCTTGGGGGGTCTCCCTGCGGGAGAGTCCCTCGACGAAGTACTTGGCGGTCAGCTTTGGCTGATCACAAGGAAAGGGGTCCGCCAGGCCTTTTGGCTAGGTGGACCATGTTGGAAACCTTTGTCCCTGTCAGGAGCCTTGCGCCCCGGGAGATCAGGGTAGAGGTTATTATTATACAGTATTTATAAAGCGCCAATAGTTTGCTCAGCACTGTACATTACAATGGGAGACAGAACATGTGACAGTACAATAACAATACAATGCGATACACGAGGGGTTCGAGGGCCCTGCTCCTTGGAGCTTACAATCTAAGAGGTTCCACCCCTTCGGGGCGTGGACTAAAAGCACACCCCTAAGTGCACTTTTTTGTGTTGGTGTTTTTAAACTTGTACCTTTTTTGTATACTTATCGGGTTTTTGTTTTTGCGCATCTCTGTGGATTTCAAAAAAAAAAATCGTTAGCATGTTGATGAGATCTCAGATAGCAGCAGATTAGTTTTTTTTAAAGCTTTTTTTTTTTTTTAGGATAGAATGAGGAAATGTTAAAACCCCTGTAGACTTTTATTGTCTTTGTCCCTGCTGGGGAGATTCACCCTTTCTGTTTGTCCCTGTGATTGGGTGATGGGAAATCCAAAATTGTCAACAGGAAGGAACATGTCCAAAGGGAACACAGGTCCTGTCTTGGAGGGGGATTTTCCTCACTTTATAGAGATTTCCTCTCACTTCCTGTTGTATTTCCAGGACAGGAA